TGTATTCTCACATACATGAACTAGGAAAAGTGCTTGTTGCTGCTGCTAATGCCACTGCTGTTATATGAACAATACATGCTTAGTAATTACTCCTCACGCGAATAACCTGCACGTAGTTTTATGTATTTTCTAGTATGTTTTCTAGTTTAAAAATGTACATCTGACGAATGCAATAATGCACAGAAAACAGAGTGAAAGCCGTTAATTTATCTAGCTGTTGAGTTTCAGAGAACTCTGAAAGCGCGCTGCAGGAATCTCAAGTGAATGCTAGCCAGCCATATAAATGCAAGGCAGTAAGCTCATTGGCTGCATATGCAGCATGAACCAATCAGCTTGTGCCAAGTCGTTTAACTCTCTGAATATCATCAGTTACGTTAACACCCCGTCAGAATGCGCCATCTAGAGTTTCATGACTGAACTATACATTTATGTAAGAACCCTCAGAAAACGTCTCGTTTTGGATCAGAGGGAAAAGGTGACGTCAACTGGGCACAGGCGTTTGCATATGACCGCCTCCAGAGCAAGACAACTATGCCTATTTTTGCATCGTTGTCACACCCAAAGGAGTAGTTTTTTTACAATAAGATTGCAATGCCAGGCAGACGACGTGTCGTTTCTGGCTGTGGAAAAACTAAATTTTTATATACGCTGCTGAAGGTTCCCAACGTCAGAAAAAAACAAATTCAATTTATTTTTAGTGAACGTCCCAGTCACGTCAGTGCTAATTTACGTAAGTGTGTTCAGTACATTTCACCATTGACTGTTTTGAGAACAATTCGCAGTATGATGCTGGCTTTGCCAAAATACTCAATGCTCAAAGATCAGGCCGAGCCAACTCTTCTGGACCCAACAACGATGCAGCAAACTGTACATAACGTATTTCATGTAAAAATTATTTTTAAAACGGTAACGGATGTTAGCCAATCATAAAAGTGGGCGGTTACACTGAGCTCTTAAAAGGAAAACACCCCAAAACCAACTGTTTCAGTCAGAGGATGAGGAGCAGGGTGGAAAAAGATCATATATCCCTCAAATTTGAATGTTTTTCGTCCAAAAAACTTTAGTAATGTTATAATTACACCTCAGGGAACACAATAAAATAAAAAATAAAAAAACATGTCATGGCCCCTTAAAAATGACTGTAGCAAAAGGGGCAGTCCTCAGATCATCTAATGCCGAGTTCACACTGCACGATATTAGCCTGATTTTTCACTCGCCGACAGGTTTTGAGAAATCGCCGACATATGCCCGACATCGGAGGCAAATCGGTGCTCGGTCACGTGAGTGACAATCACGCAGTGTGAATTATCAAAGACGCAATCTGAGGAAATCGCCGACACATCGCCGACGCCCGTGAAATATTTGGCATGCTAAATATCTGGAGCTGTCGGCGATTCACAATCACGCTGTGTGCAATGAGTTCTGACTGAAAACTACATCGGCGATGACCTACAGCCAATGAGCGACCAAGATACAGGGCAGAGGGAAGTTCGGGGAGGAGTTATAGACCAGAATATCAGTATTTTAATAGATATATGAACAATTATATCATACAGAAACAAGCACAAACATTTGCTTGCCCAGCCACAACATCAGCACAACAGTTACTGCAAAATTATTTACCTCAAACACTCTTTGCAGAACACCCAATCCCTGTTCCCTGCATCTCCCTCCTGCATAAACTGTTTTTCTTTTTCTCCTTGTAGCTGGAAATCAGCTCACAGACAATTTGCGGGCTATATATATATATATTTTTTTTTAATAATTACAGTCTGGCTCGAGAACTCCGATCTGACGCACTTCTCGTGTGTGTTTTGTTGTTAAACGTAGTTTGCAGACCAGACAGAGTTGTCGGCGATTCTTCCTATTGTGAAGTCATGCAGTGTATAACCTCCTGTTGCCGATCCATCGTGCAATGTGAACACAGCAACAACTGAATGCTACCTCAGATAGTCACGCAGTGTGAAAACAACGGCGATCCGACGAGTTTGAAAATCGTGCGGTGTGAACTCGGAATTAGGTGAAGCCACCATGATGACAGATTCATATCTAGATGTGAAAGTCAGCGAAGAGAATGGAGTGTTTAACTCACACTGTAGACAGCAGTGACGGGCTGTGTGGACAAGATTCGCTCTTCCAGGGGCACTCTTGGGAACCTAGAGGAGATATTAAGGAAAACTCTGGGGCAGAAAGTACTTAAGGCCAAACACAGCAACAAGGTGGGAAAACACACATGATGCATGAAGGAAACTGTTTAAGCGCAGTGACATTAGAATGAAAAGAGCTGACAGAATCAAGCAGATAACATTTATCCACATGCAAATAGTTCGTTTTACTAGTAATATACAATTCATTCTTTCTGCATTTTTCTTCCGCTGGCCCAATTGGGCCAGATAGTCAGGTTGTTTTTTTAGCAACCATTTAATGTTTTGGGGTTGGTAAGATTTTATTATCATTTTTTTTAAGAAGTCTTTTATTTTCACTCAAGCTGCATTTATTTGATCAACAATACAGTAATACTGCAAAATATTATTGCAGTTTAAAATAACTGTTTTCTTTTTTACAATTTTAAAATGTATTCCTGTGATGGCATAGATACATTTTTAGCATCATTACTCCAGTCATCAGCATCAGAAATCATTCTAATATGCTGATTTGGTGCAAAAACATTTCATATTATTATCAATGTTAAAAACAATTGTGCTGCTTAATATTTTTGTGGAAACCATGATGCATTGATGAATTTTTTTCAGGATTCTTTGACAATTAGAACGTTCTAAAGAACAGCATTTATTTAAGTTCCCTGCATCTCCCTCCTGCATAAACTGTTTTTCTTTTTCTCCTTGTAGCTGGAAATCAGCTCACAGACAATTTGCGGGCTATATATATATATATTTTTTTTTAATAATTACAGTCTGGCTCGAGAACTCCGATCTGACGCACTTCTCGTGTGTGTTTTGTTGTTAAACGTAGTTTGCAGACCAGACAGAGTTGTCGGCGATTCTTCCTATTGTGAAGTCATGCAGTGTATAACCTCCTGTTGCCGATCCATCGTGCAATGTGAACACAGCAACAACTGAATGCTACCTCAGATAGTCACGCAGTGTGAAAACAACGGCGATCCGACGAGTTTGAAAATCGTGCGGTGTGAACTCGGAATTAGGTGAAGCCACCATGATGACAGATTCATATCTAGATGTGAAAGTCAGCGAAGAGAATGGAGTGTTTAACTCACACTGTAGACAGCAGTGACGGGCTGTGTGGACAAGATTCGCTCTTCCAGGGGCACTCTTGGGAACCTAGAGGAGATATTAAGGAAAACTCTGGGGCAGAAAGTACTTAAGGCCAAACACAGCAACAAGGTGGGAAAACACACATGATGCATGAAGGAAACTGTTTAAGCGCAGTGACATTAGAATGAAAAGAGCTGACAGAATCAAGCAGATAACATTTATCCACATGCAAATAGTTCGTTTTACTAGTAATATACAATTCATTCTCTCTGCATTTTTCTTCCGCTGGCCCAATTGGGCCAGATAGTCAGGTTGTTTTTTTAGCAACCATTTAATGTTTTGGGGTTGGTAAGATTTTATTATCATTTTTTTAAAGAAGTCTTTTATTTTCACTCAAGCTGCATTTATTTGATCAACAATACAGTAATACTGCAAAATATTATTGCAGTTTAAAATAACTGTTTTCTTTTTTACAATTTTAAAATGTATTCCTGTGATGGCATAGATACATTTTTAGCATCATTACTCCAGTCATCAGCATCAGAAATCATTCTAATATGCTGATTTGGTGCAAAAACATTTCATATTATTATCAATGTTAAAAACAATTGTGCTGCTTAATATTTTTGTGGAAACCATGATGCATTGATGAATTTTTTTCAGGATTCTTTGACAATTAGAACGTTCTAAAGAACAGCATTTATTTAAAATATTTTTTTAATTTGTTTGTAACAATGTTAAAGTTTTGACTGTCATTTTTTATCAATGTAATGCATCCTTACCGAATAAAAGTATGAACTTCTTTAAAAAAAAAACCTTACAGACCCCAAACATTTGAACTGTTGTGTATATATCATAAAGAAATACATATTTACATTTTCTTTACAAAACGTTACAGCAATTTAAAACAATTTTAAGCACTAACAGCTAGAAATATACAGTTACACTATACAGAAAGAGGACATTTCTCACTTTCAACGCATTCTAAATGATAGCTATAACAAACCATCTATACAGATAGATAACTTCACTTTGGATATTTTATTTAAATATGCTGATTATATGCTTTTTAAATATAATTTTAATTAACATGTAATATCAATAGAAAATATAGATTTTTTTACTAACATTTTTATCATGATTTTACTAGTAATATACAATTCATTCTTTCTGCATTTTTCTTCCGCTGGCCCAATTGGGCCAGATAGTCAGGTTGTTTTTTTAGCAACCATTTAATGTTTTGGGGTTGGTAAGATTTTATTATCATTTTTTTTAAGAAGTCTTTTATTTTCACTCAAGCTGCATTTATTTGATCAACAATACAGTAATACTGCAAAATATTATTGCAGTTTAAAATAACTGTTTTCTTTTTTACAATTTTAAAATGTATTCCTGTGATGGCATAGATAAATTTTTAGCATCATTACTCCAGTCATCAGCATCAGAAATCATTCTAATATGCTGATTTGGTGCAAAAACATTTCATATTATTATCAATGTTAAAAACAATTGTGCTGCTTAATATTTTTGTGGAAACCATGATGCATTGATGAATTTTTTTCAGGATTCTTTGACAATTAGAACGTTCTAAAGAACAGCATTTATTTAAAATATTTTTTTAATTTGTTTGTAACAATGTTAAAGTTTTGACTGTCATTTTTTATCAATGTAATGCATCCTTACCGAATAAAAGTATGAACTTCTTTAAAAAAAAAACCTTACAGACCCCAAACATTTGAACTGTTGTGTATATATCATAAAGAAATACATATTTACATTTTCTTTACAAAACGTTACAGCAATTTAAAACAATTTTAAGCACTAACAGCTAGAAATATACAGTTACACTATACAGAAAGAGGACATTTCTCACTTTCAACGCATTCTAAATGATAGCTATAACAAACCATCTATACAGATAGATAACTTCACTTTGGATATTTTATTTAAATATGCTGATTATATGCTTTTTAAATATAATTTTAATTAACACGTAATATCAATAGAAAATATAGATTTTCTTACTAACATTTTTATCATGATCTAATTTAGCTGATTTAAATATATTTTGACATTTAAATTAGTATAAGTGACACATTCCTGCTGCTCAAACAGTAAACCATTTAGCTAGCAACACCATGGTCACAGGTTTGATTCCTAAGGAAAGCATGAACTAATAAAATGTGTACCTTGTAAATATCTTAAACAACAATATCCAATACATCACAGAAGTACAAACATTTAGGTTTGCAGGGCTTAAAAGACACATACACAATCAACAGACGTAATGACAACCCAGTTCTGGGTCCAATATCTAGCCATCAACTGACCTGAAACTCTCTCACACTGGCCCTGTGAAACCCTTATTGTCAAGCCCTGCTCTCCTTTCCACATGTGTATTTAAAAAGGGAACATTCTGAAAGAAACTTGTATTTTTTCTACTCTAACTCATTCTGTAGTGTTTCCCTGTTCCTCTAATAAGCTGGCCTGGGGTTCGGCACACTGGGGCTGAGTGGCACAAACTGGAATTCACATTGTTGTCAAGACATGCTAGCTCCCATCAGAGTTAACAACCTCCAGCCACACCGGAAAAACGATGCAAACTTTACATAACTGTCCTCGAAATTCCTCCATGTATCAACCATACTTCACATTACTGAATAAACATTGTCTTTTGAATGATGGAGCAATACTGTGCTATCCCTTAAAGAAAAGAGGTTCTCGCACAAGTAAAAATCATCATCCGTTGCAACAAGGTTGTCATACACAAGAAGCTGATTGTGTATTAACATGCTGCTGGAGTACAGAGGATGGAGATGCGTCTTCCATCTCCAGCCCTCAGTTCTGTCTGTACAACCAGGCTATTGTTAAGAGGGCGGGGAAACCCTTCCTCCTTCACTGCGCCACAGGCACATACACACAGAGAGAGTTCAAACAGAGATAATGTACAGTTTACTGTAACCGGGGTAAAACAACAGCTGTCAGTTGCTCGTTTTAACTTTCCCTTGGCACCCTGCCATGAAACTTTCACAGTAATCTCAAGCTCAAAACCATGTCACCCTTTTACAGTCACAGTTTCAACTGGTTTGTAGGTTACAGATTATTTTTAGTGCTACAGTCTCATTTACTAAGATATACATTTGCAATGACACAGCAGACACAGTTGTTTTCTATGTGTTCCATTTTAAAATGATCCTCAATTGCTTTAAACACTTTAAAAGTGTTTCATTCTAAAAAGCTATGCAGTGCATCATGGTCTAAATACACCTCCTGCCTAAATCAGAGTGCTATATGAAAATAAATAAATCCAAATATAAACCAACATGTTGTTATAAAGAGCACTAATGCTTAGGTTGATCTCATGCAAGAATTTGTAGCAGATAATTCTCAGCTAGGAAATATTTGCAAGTATGAAATGAAACCAGTCCATTGGGGACGCATTTTACATAGTTAAAAAAAGAAACAGAAAGCATTAACTGTAAATGCGTTTGGGGAATCTCCCACAATAATTAAAAAACCTTAAAGAAAGCCATCATTGTCTCTGACTGTATTATTATGCATTGTTAGCACTATTTTCCCAAGTACACATGGTCTAATTTAGTCTTTAGCCCTGTTATTTCAACTCCCAAAAACAATTACATCGATTTAAGTGACTCACTGCAAATGCCATACCAACATGTCAAGATATTTATTTACTTGCTTATGATGACAAGTGGAAGTTATAGAAGTCAGATATGCAAAAACTACCCTGTAAACCCACACAGTCAAACAGCAGCTAGTTTGTCCAGCAACCAAGATACTGACAGAGGGGCACGGACAGTTATAACAGAAGGGTGTTAAGCTTAAATTAGAGCCATAAAGAAATATCGACAAGACACTGAAGGCAAGCAAAAGTATGACAGTTTATCTCTGTGGGAAAACATAACCTGAACACTGTTTAGTCCACCCTACCTTACTGTCAGGAAGAAATATAAGTGGTATTTCTGTGCAGCATTGCCTTCTGTCTTCTGTTAAACACAAAAGACTATATGCTGAGAAATGTTGGTAACCAAACGGATGACACTTTTTTTTTTGGGGCAAAAGACACTACAGGCCATTGTTTTTTTATGCACTTGTCAAGTTTGAGATTTGGGGATATTTTGCATACAAAAGGTGTCTTCTTTCCGACTAATGGGAAAACCCCTCCAAAATAAACATTTAAGTATACACAACACACTTCACCCACATTGCACTAAATACGCATAATAACATGCATTTAAATGCATGATCATATTTAAAGTCAGTTTTCTCAAAAAATAAATGAATAAATAAATAATAATAATCTCATGCACTGAACCACAAATCTACACCTCAGGAGTACTTATATACACCAAACTTCACAGTTGTATTCCTATCTATATTCTGAAGGTTCTTATAGAGGAGTTCGTATATCATTTGCCTGATTTATATAACATGGTCTGATTTATTTTCTGAGTGATAAGAGATACACCAAACACCTTCTAATATGTCAACAAAATGAAACAAGAATTTTGATCTTGGCTTTAATTAAATGCCTCATCTGCATAATGAAACAACATTTCAGAAAATGTGTAAAACCAAACATGTACTGTGTCTTCTTCATACACTGTAATTAATCAACTAGACAAGTATGGTGATATCTAGTCTACCCAATTCACATGTGGTGTCTTGGCTTAAAGGGACAGTTCATCCAAATAAATAATAAATAAATAAATGTCATAATTTACTAACCCTCATGAGATTTTTAGTCAGAATGACCGTTTCAGTCAGTCACCATTCACTGTCAGTGTGTTGAAACAATGAAAGTGATGGTGACAGAGGCTGTCATTTTGAATAACATTTCTTACATGTTTCGCTGTGGAAATTCAATCACTGGTTTATAACAACATAAAGAGTGAGTAAATCATGACACAATTATTTAAATGCGCTATCTTATTTCTCAAGCAAGACAGAAAAAGAGAGCTAGCTTTAGCACTGTCACGCCGGCCCGGCTGGATCAGCCCAAACCGGCTGCGGGTTGACAGCCACATGAACACTGTTACTACACTACTAGCACCTCCATGTTAAAAAACAAAACCGGATTTAAGCCACAACCAAATCAAATCAAACATATAGTTCTGCGGTGCTGAAATTCTGTTAGCCGGTACACACGCAAGCGCTGTCAAAACCTAGTGGCCCGCCTGCCTAGACAGCAGTTTCGGGCATCACATGCGCACCTAATCGAAATGCCTATGATGTTTAAAGATGCTGTCCAGGTAGGCAGCTCACTAGGTTTTGAAACACAACCACAGATACAGATTTGTGATGGAGGACGACGCTTTCAGAGAAGGATACTGTGTCGGCGGCTGTTGAGCCACCGGTGTCCCCGGCGGTAGCGGCACTGGGGTCAGGGTGGCCCGCAGCTGACTCGAGGGTGACGGCCCGGTTCCGGTTCCAAGTCCAGTTCCAGCGGCGACGGCAGCGGCTGGTTTCGGCACCAAACTCATCGCAAATAAAAACAAAAACAAAACAAACGCACGGCTTTACAGATATTTACAATAATAAATTATCTAGCGGCTAAACTGTGCACGTAAAAAAAATGTTGCTGGCGAGTAACGTCAACACCGGGCCTTTAGGAGCAGGTTGCCGGTGTCTGAGCGGATAGAAAAGCTTGAGCTAACAGGCTAGCTAGCTTATTTATAGAATAGCAGGCTAAAGTTAGCCAGCTAGTGCTTATTTTGGTTTATCTTCATTGCTGAAGGTTGGGGGGCTGTTCCCCCTCCCCGGCCGGGGTTTCCGAGGATCTAGTTGGCCTCTTCTTGCCAGGGCGATCTTGACAGGTGAGCCCTCTTTGGAAAATGAAAAACACTTTGTTTACAACAGCTCTTTGACGAGAGTATCTCCACAGAGGGTGATGATTCCGTTCAACATGGCGCTGTGGCCGCCTCCGGCAGTCCTACAGGACCGACCTTTCGTTTTACTTCGGGTGTTTTCGTGTCACTTCGGCGAGTGGAATTTGCAACGAGTGGAGTACGGAATGCGCTATTCGGAACTCATAACCTATTTGGATGTCAGCCAAGAATATAGTAATATACGCTGTAACAGCCAAAAATAATGGCTTTAGATTTTAAAAAAAAAGCGATTTAAATTTGATTTAAAAGCGATTTAAAAGCGATGTGTGTGTGTGTGTGTGTGTGTATATATATATATATATATATATAAATAAAATATGCAAACCTTTCCGTGTTTATGGAGCGGTTTGGCCCCGATTTGTGATGTTACAGTGACATCTTGCGTCCACAGCTGAAGACGCAGTTCAGCTCATGAGAAATTATATGAGAACTCCGGAGACTGACATATAGCCTAGCTTCTATATATGCAGTATAATTATCATAATGTAGTAATAATTTATAATTTAAAAATGCTCTCTTATAACTAAACACACACTTTCAACACATCTGTATCCATAAAAGGAATAGCCTGAAGGACTCCATAGAGAAAGTAAACTCAATCACAATCAATTATAGCCTATATATTAGTATAAATGTATTAATGTTAAAGCTATTCCTTACTTTTGTCGAGTCTTACATGGTACATGTAATTGCTGGAGGATTCCAGAAACAAGATGAAAAACATTTACTTGAACATCTTAAGAGAAGAATGTCTTAAGGATGAGGAGGATGACTGGTAACAATGTTTTTTTTTCTTTTCTTTTTCCCCCAATAATTTTTAATCATTGAATGTACTTCTGTGTTTGTTTCTTTTATTTTCACCCTGATTTGAAAGATTTTAAAAGTGACACTGCATCCTTTGTTATCATAAATTGTAAGATGATTTACAATTTTATACACTTTTATTGTGCTGGATAACGGAAAGATTAAGTACAATATTCCAAGTCACTTATTTTTCGGATGCTCAGTTTATGGGTACTTGAGAACTGTCCTCTAACATATTGATTTTGGGAGTTTTGTAGGTCAACAGTGATGTACAGCTTGATTTTCAGCTTGAATTCAGTATCCTTGATCCAGTAAGTCTTGATTCCCAAGAAACAACACAGCAATGACAGCGGATTAGAGCTAGTGTTTATCTCAGCAAGACCATGTGTTAGCTCAAATGTTCAGGACTTTGATGGACTTTATGTGCACAACTAAATGCATTTTCAAATGGTAAGTCACAATTAATTTCTAAAGTATATCCTGTTTTCCTACATTGTACAGTGCAACAATGATTCTATTTTCTAATAATGTTTTGCTTATGTCCCCATTAAGTTATGAAACATTATGAAAATGTTCTCTTAATGTTTAAATGTACAGTTTAAATAATATTTGGTTATTATTACATTAACATCTCAGTTCTTGGATAATACAAATTTACTGGTACAATCAAAACACATGTAGCGTCCCACATTTTATATAAAATGTTATGTGTGTATATATATATATACTTTTTTTTACTTGTTTAATACATATATTGTTAAGAATATGTATTTTATTTGTTTAGGTTAGTGCAGATACAGTACTGTGTAAGAGTATATAGATTTAAAAAAGCAACATTTACGTTATCGATAAAAATCAAGATGCTAAAATGACGCCTGTTCACACCAAGAACAATAACTATAAAGAAAATATAACTATTAGCGTCCACATCAACTCACAATAACATTCCATTAATCACACGCTGCAGTTTTGTCATCTTTAAATGCTAGAGTTAGGTGGATTCTGATTGGTTGTCGATGTTTTTAGTGTTCATCAGCTGGGAAAAATAGTTCTGAAAGTGATTCCAATGATATTGTTTCTCAGTGTCAACATCTTTTGTGTGTGTGTGTGTGTGTGGGTGTGTTATGGATTTCCCTTTTCTCATAGAATTAGAATGCTCAAAAACTTTATAGTTATTGTTATAATTATTATCCTTGGTGTGAACAGGCCTTTACACCGGTTTGTATTTAAGTCAAATAAAATGTTTAAACCAACGTATTACTATTAGAGTTGAAATATGCTGAAACTACCTCTAGCTAAACTCAATTAAAAACACAGCAATGTACGAATCAAGGTCACACGAAATTGGGTACTTTGGAAACTGATGTACAGGTGCAAATGCTTAGGAAAGGCACACACTTTACTTTTAATTAAGACATGCAGTTCAAGCTTCTCAGAAACACACATAAAGGAATGGATGGTTGATGCAGAGATATTCCTCTGAAAAAAGGGAAAACAATCAAACAGCAAGAGAAACATTTTTTTCAAAATAAAAATAAGAAATAAGTATTCTACATATACGTTCAGCCCTTATCTTGAGACACGTTTAGTAACATGTACTTAAGCAGAGGCTGAAGTTCCTCAGAATTTGACACTTTCATCAAAGAGAGCACCTTTTAGCTTAACAACTCAAAAGCATGATCAAATGATTTCTTCATCCACTGAACATCGGTTTGCGAGGTATCCGTGTGACTTCATAAGTGTTTAACCCTGGGACGTCAAAACCTGGTGAGAGCCCCTTTTTTTTTAAAGATGTAAAAGTTCAAAAGCTGCCCATCCTGAGATTCAAGAGACACAGAAGCAGCGTTAACTTTCAGCTGACAGGGGTACTCCTTCTCGAACACCACCCTGAACACCCTATCCTGCAGATAACTGAGTTTCAAACTTCTGTACTTCATGGGAACCATGGTGTCGACTTGAGGTCCAGTCTGCTCCAGAGACAGCACTCCATCTGCATCTGCTTTGATCTCATAGAACATTATGTTGTTATAAGTAAAGTAACCAATGTAGGGAACAGGGTCCGGAGGAGGGATGAGAACATGAGGTGCATCTCTGAAGGCACTTTCCATGGCAGGGATGAGTGAACTGTAGACTTTAGCCACAAGATCCTCATCTTCAGGTTTGGTTCCAACTTCCAGCCATTAGGAGGACCGACCTGAGCTTCAAGTGAGGAACAAGGGATATTGAGGCCGAATAACCATCTAAATGTCCATCTTTGCGGATTACGTCATAGTCCAACTGTTCTTTTACCTCCCACGGTGTGCCAGTTTGATCTGCAAAGTAACTATTTTCACACCAAAACAGAGGAGTTAACATGGTTTTGAGGGTGTCAGGCAGGAGAACCGGGCGGAAGTATGCACCCAGAAGCATCATCACCAGTTTGGCCATGTCTGCAGGTGTGGAGTACATTTGCCCTGATGGTCTATACCAGCCAAGAGTGCGGGACGCCCGCTTGAGTAAACTCCTATCGCCATCCGGTTCGTTATTTGAGAGGTGATTTTCAAATCCAGTGTCCTCCATTCTAAGCGGCTGTAGGATATTTTCAGACACCCATCGCTGATAATCCATCCCCGCTACCTTCTCTGCCATCACGTGGGCCAGCAGGGAGAAGGCCAGGTTGCTGTAGTGGCATCTGAGGACAGCAGAGGGCTAGAATTACTTCCTCCAGGGAGAACCCACAAGTGCATTCATTGCATCTGCTGTCATCAATTATTTACACCTCCTTTCATTCATTAAACATCCTCTCAATACAAGTTTGAAGAGGAAAATATACTTGTACTAGCTTACTTTGTTCCAGGGTCAGCCACGAGAATATCATCTTGTAATAAATCCACAGCAGCCTGAGTGTTGCCTTTCCACAGTAAAGTAGTCGCCCTAAGCCGCCAGGGTAAACCTATAGTCAAAAATGAATCCGAAATATCCAGTTTTTCACATTTTCATTTATTTGATATATAGTGTTACCAGTTTGCTATTTAAAAGTAAAATGATTGAGGACCTATATGATTGAGGCATTAATATTCATTTTCAAGCTGATTATTTTCATGTTATGGCTGATAACCAAAAAAATACCAGATATTAAAAATACATACTATTTTGTCTCAATGAAATAAAAAATTGAAACACTAAAAACTAAAGACCAGTTATTTTGAGTGCTAAACCACTACAATAATGTGCATTATGAAAAATAGATATATTTGATAAAGATTTAAAAGTGTCATTAAATTCTTAATGTTTTTAAAGATTAAGTGAACAGCAAAACTAATGTAAATGGAAGGGGATATAAGCATGTTCAATTAAATATCAAATATAGGTTGATGTGTCCAGTATTGAATAATGCAAACAAATAAAATCATATATATATATATATATATATATATATATATATATATATATATATATATATATATAGATCTGCTTTTATTTTTTTGCATTATTCAATACTGTATTCAATATCTCAAAGGCAGATGGTTTTTCATTACATACTGATTTCTATTGCCAAAAAAATATTCCTATGTAAATTTCCTGTCAAATCAACTTGAAGGCTATTTCTGAATGCAGTTAAGTGTACCAAAATAATCAGCAGCACTATTTCTGGCACATTATATGAACATCAGCATGAGCATGGGGTAAGCTGAGTCCAGTATGTTATGGCCATTCCTTCGTGTCTAATCCTAGACTAGAGGCAAACCCAAGTCATGTCAGGCAATAGAGCTGATTAGGGTAGCCGTGGAAACTCCTAAAAACAGTTGATCTAATTACAGGTTTCACCTTCTTTATTTTTACAGCCCTAATTATATACATGCTAATCATCTATTACTGATCTAAACACCACGTTGAGGTCAGTTACAGATACTGTGGTCCTCACCTGACAGCTGACTGGCCATCCTTCTCAGGGTAACTGAGGAGACGTGGGCTTGAGCCTCTCTACTGCTCATGCCGTCAGAGATGGACTTGAGGTCATGAACCCTTCTTTTCCCCAGAGGGTTTTTTATGGTGAAGTTCTTAACATACTTCCCCAGAGGGTCATCCAAGGAATTCACTTTTCCATCCTCCCAAAGTTTGTAAAGCATCAAGGTGGGGAAGATTTTAAACAGGCTTGCAATTCTTTGGTGGTAAAACCATTTTTTTTTAAACATAAAAAGAAGCACATAATAAGTGTGTAATGCTAAATATTTACAATGTAAATATGTATATCTACATTTGAATTTCAAAGGGGGTGAGCATCAACTTTTAAATGA